TATATATATCCCTGCTTAAAAATACATTAGGAGGCATCAGTTGGCCGAAAAAATCAGAAAAAGGAAACCTACCGGTGGTGGGATTTTCCGGGAGCGGTGGCTCAGCCGGCTCACCTTCGCAACTGGGTTTTTTTTTCGATCAACTTGTAGAAAACAGAACGGTGAACACAACGGTAGAAAAATCACACAAAACGAAAAATAGAAAGGGGCTCATCGGAGGAGGTTGCAGGTTTTGCCTGCGATGGTTCCACCGGGCTTTGCCCGCAGTTTTCGGCTCATATACCATTTGTTTTGCTTCGATATAGCCACGATCGGCTCTCTTCTCCGGCGGGAGGCTGGCGACTAAGGTTCGAATTCAGTATGATGTGAAATATTTATACTCATATCGTATTAATCTAAACCGTTCATCGCGTTTGATTTCGACCGTTCGATCGCACATGAGGAAACGAATATGGACTGTTCATCGCGTTTGATCTCAACCGTCCGATTGTGCTTAAGAAAGAAATAGATCTCGACCGTCCATACGCACGGGATTGCTTCTGGGTCGTCCGATCGGGGAGCATGCAGATCGCTAGCGTGGCCTCCCACGTGGCACTAAGTCAGCGTGCTTTACCACGTAGCACGCTCCGATCGTCGAGGTTACTGACTGGGCGGTCTTACGTAATTAAATTTTTTTTATTTGCATTTTGACCTCCAATTTTTAATTTTTCTTTCAAAAATACCAGACCTTAACTCACACACACATAGCTCCAGCAACTATCCTGCCACCAATTACAAAACACTCCTCATTCACCCATACTCCGACCCTAGTTCGGCCACATAAACACACACCGACCTTAACTCACCGGCCTTAACTGACACACACCCACTCACCGACCTCAATTCAGACACACACACACACATACATCAGCAGTACGCACACACACAACACTACTCAAGCAGAAATATCACCGCAAGCTACACGATATACACGCACCTACCGGCCTCAGTTCGGCAACACACACAACCTGCCACTAGCACCACTATCGACACCACAACTCCCATCTCTGCCGTTGCCAATATCGGCGCACCAACATCCACATCCACTGGCACTAATATCAGCACCTCAATATTTCCAACCAACAAAATCACCAACGCCTACCCACTCTGTCGACGCCACACCAGACTCACTTTCTTTCCTACAACCTCGTCTCACTACTCTCTCTCTCTGTTAACTCTCTCCCTTCCCTTCCCCAAAAACCCGACCCCCGTACACTATCCTATTTCGCCCCAATCCCGCCATACGACTCACATTAACTCCATTTCAGTCTGTTCCTTCCCTTTCCCCTCACTTCCACTTGATTCACTCACCATTTCTCATCTCTCTACCTCCTCACAACTCGATATCTCCTTCACTCGTACTCCTCTTCAACCTCCGCTCTCGGTCTCTCTTTCAAATTTCCCCCACTCTCCCTTCTTCTCCGTCGCCCGATCTCTCTCTCTCTCTCTCTCTCTTTTCCCCCCTTTTTCATTTCTTTTTCCCTTTTTTTTTTCTTTTCTACCCCTTTTCTATATACTCCCCTCCCCATCAAATCCCAGCCGTTCATCCTAGCCCTCCAATCCTCACCGTCCATCCCCCCACCCTGACTTTACTAAGACATTACAGGCTAGCTAGTGATAAATGACCACTATTTCTAGATTCTAATAAGGTTATTATTAAGCAGTTGCATCCAAGTTCAAGTTCTTTATTCACAGTCTTCAAAATCCTTGAACTCATCTTCTTCACCTCAGTTATATCTCTCCCATTATATCTGCTCCTGCAATAAATAAATAGTAATAACATCAAACCTTAACCAAAATTAAGTCATCTTACTAGAATAGTTTATTAATTTTTTTATTTACAAACTATTAATTTTTTTTATAATCCGTATTCTGAGTTGATATAGACTAATGCAAATATGTATAAATTTCTGAAAAGTATGTATATATATATATATATACACAAACATATATGTACAAATATATAAAATTAATAATTAAAAGATTATTTCCTAAAATATATATATTTAAGTTATCAGATTGAACGAGACTGATGAATTACATTTAACAAATTTTAGATTATAAACTTTTTTTCATAATATTGTAGATTGTTATAATGTGTTGTTACTGTTATCTCTCATATATATATATACACACGCACACACACACACACACACACACATAATGTACACATATATATATCTATATACATAGCTATATATTTGAAATATTTGTAGACATATACACATATATATGGAAAAATATACCGCGGATAGATTGATATATAGACATATACGTAAGTGGAAATGTTTTTAAAGTTGAGGTCAAATATATATATATAAATATATATATACATATGAAATATACGTAGCTATTGGGAATGTAGTGACGAGGCGCCTTACAAAACAGTAAATTTTTTAATTATATACATATCCAAACATTACATAAATATTATATTTTGTTCACCTATTTATTTATTTATTTATTTACACAGACTACTATGATATATATCTTTATACAATTTTTTTACTATTAAAATTTAATAAGAGTTATCTAACTATTTTTAAAAAAATTTCACCTGCATTAATATTATATAAATTTATATTATTATATATATACAATTATGTAAATTTTTTGCCATATTTTAATTTTATTGGTGTGAATTTTATTTTTGTTTTAATAAAGCATAAGAATTTGAATAAAAAAAAAACGAGAAAGTATTATGAAAATATAAAAACTAAAAATTAAAAATAAATTTCGTTCCTTTTTAAAACCCATTCTATAAAACTCAGTTATTTACATCCACTTCTACCTTTGAACCCAAAATACCAAATACCCAAACCGTCACATTTTGGCCCACGACTTAACACAAGTCATTAACCAATCTCAAGCTCATTATAGTTTACACCGACCCACTATTTATATATATATATATATATAATTTTTTATTGTTATAAGTATACTTATAAATGTATCTAAAATTATATAAATATAATAAAATAATTGTGTTGAATTCGGATCAGATAACCCACAAATCTACTTTTAAATTCAGAATGGATTCATATTTATTTTTTACGAGAATATAACAAATTCGATTTTAATAAAATATTATTAGAATTGGTACCGTTGTCATTCTAATCAATAAATATTATTATTTTCTTTTTTATCTCTCGTAATGTTTATCATGTTTAAATTTTTTAAAAAATAATTATTTTTTTAAAAAAAATTTTAATGAACTCTATTTTTATATTTACGTTGTATCATAATAGTAATAATAATAATAAATTTTGTTACAACTGTTTTCGTATAAAGAAAAAATTCAAGATTGAAATTAAAATATAATAGATACTAAATTTAAAAAACTAATCCAATAATTTCACTAGAGATCAAATTATAACACATATTAAATTTTATATATTAATATGTTAATTTTTATATATATATAAAAAAAATCAAATAGTGCTTTCCGAAAAAAATAATAATGAAGGGGATAAATGATTCCTGTTGGTGGCCATGTTGGGTAGATTCCTTGGCTGATTCGGCTGCGGTCCCTTTAGCCGACGCTATCCACTCTTCAGTTTTGCCCTCCACCCGCATACAACACCATTTCAGCCTCAACAAAATTTAAGATCAACTACTAATTAAGATCAACAAAATTTTGTTATGTATATATATAGATATGTATGTATGTATGTATGTATGTATGTATATACTCTCTATGGGTTTTATTCAGGAATGAAATGCGGAGTTGAGACTTGATTGGTGGTGCGGAGAGAGATCAGGCGTTATCTATTGTGTCTATATTTGGTAACGGGGTGATACATAAATACATATATATAATTGAAAAAAAATGAAATAATTTGATTATTAAGGTGGATGGTAATGCCAACTTTGATAATTAAGCAAATGAGAAAAGATTATATGATATAAGATAAAGATTTAGAAATTTGTTGTACAAATAATGTATATTGCTCAAAATATAATTTTGTGTAATTTTTGAAAAATTTTCCTTTGGAACTATGAAATCTTTTTCTTTCTTTCACTTCCTCCAATTTTGAAGAATGCAAAAGTCAGATTTATAATAATAAAGCCACAGCTTTTCCAGTTTTTTTTTTTTACTAATATTTATTTATTTATTTGTACAAACAACTAAGGAGTATAACTATACATTTATTACTATAAACAATTTTTTTTAAGTTTTTTTTTTTTTTTACTAATTTAAGCCAAAAATTGCAATATATATATATATATTAGTAGTAGTTGTCTTGTAAGTTTAATATTAAAAAAGAATAGCATCATTATTACTATAATATTCTACTTTAAATCTAAATTTTGAGTTTGAAATTTATCATTTTTACGTTTGAAAAAGTTAGTGAATAAGAAATTTTTAATTTCTGAGAGCTGAAGGTATGTTAAATAAATGATGGCTCTTATAATATTAAAATTTTGAGTTTGATAAATAATTTTTACCCAAATGATTTTTTATAAAAAGAAATTACGGGTAATGTTTAAAATAAAAACCTAAAGGAGATAATTTAAAGATTATTATGATAACGAGTAAGTTAAAAGTGCTCCAAAGGCTTGTAAATGCTAAAGAATAATTATTAACACACAATTGGAGATAAAGATGGTTTGAAGAGAGGAAAGTGGATTAACTTTTTGTTCTTTGTCATATATGCAAACAGTGACAGGTATTCCTATCAATTTAGGGACCATTTCAAGTTTTGTCCCTATACGAGCCTCACCTTTTTTGCAAAAGAAATTCAAATTGCCACGCACAAGATATGGATATTTTTGTATCGGGATAATGGGGACACCGCCCAAAAGCTCCCTCGTACTTATTGCACATGGTAGATATGTCATAGATCTAAATATTTAGATCTGTGTTTTCAAACCAATTACTTAGATCTGTGTTTTCAAACCAATTGCCGGAGGTTGAGGAGGACAGAAAAGTTTAAATGCAATATACTGAAGGCCTAAGCTGATCCAAATGTATTACTTATCTTATTATCTCGGGAAGGAGAAAGACTGTTTCCAGTACAAAACATATACATATATATATATCTATGTACCATATATGGCAATCTTTGTGCGCTTTTTGTAGCCACAGCTGTAATAAAAAGAGCTATGGCAAAACCCATAAATGTAAGTGTACATTTTGCAGCCAACTTGCCGACAACGTAGTAAAGAGAGCTATTATACCTAGGAGACTTTCCTTATTGTGATTATAATATTAATTTGCAGCAACGTGCATGCTTATGATCCCTCCTAAATTCTTTTAGTGCGTAAGAGCAACAGCAGCCTCCTGCACCAGTGGCTGGGTTACGTGAACAAAATGCTCAGCTTCCCGCTCAACCTGCTCCCTACACTTGTGGGTATCTTTCCCCTCTTTCATCTTCTTAACAAATGCTACAAATCTTCTCCAGTTATCTGGCTGGAACAACTCAGGGTTCATTCTCAAGTATGTGAATGCAGACATCTCTCTGTCTGTTTCCGAATTGCCATCAAAATTCAGCGATGATGCCTGCAAGATCTGCTCGTGTGCGGATTCGTCGTACCTAGGCAGGGCGTTTTCCCCAGCTAGTGGAACCTGTGCTGCTTGAGTAGCTACAGCCACTTGCCTCACAAGCTTCTCAGGTGCACAGAGAGCATCCTGTGGTTGTTCATGATCACGCATCTCTATGCAAGTAAAATTGAATACGGCTCCATGCCGTGCTAACATTTGCGCAATAGGAAGGTAACCATCACGGAATCGTGTATTGTAGTATCCTGCTGTGAGTTCAGGAGCATGAGAACGGCTGCCGTAATGCCAGTGGATTCCAGCAACCTTAACTGAGATTTTTATGCCAGTGTTCTCAAAGATTGATTTGGCTGATGTTAAAATCCTCTCACCATGATCTAAAAGCATCTGGGAATACCAACTGAGGAAGAACTCGCCGTACGGGCTATTCCAACCACCACCTTCTTTTCGGAAAAATGGGGTATCCTCTGGCCAGTTGTTGTAGTGGCCAGCATCGGTTGGTCCTGTGCTTCCCCATTCTGGTTTACCAGCTGCTTCAGCCGCAGCTTTTAAGCTAGCCAGCAGAAACTGCATTGATGACAACAAGAAAACCATAGGATAATGCATTAAGTAGAAGAAACAATGGGATGCAGACTTGGAAAAACGTGAAAGAAAAATTGAAGTACCTTGTCGTAGCATTGGAAGGCTCCAATGCCTGGAAACTTCCATGTCCCATTCTGCTCTGGATATGATGGGTAACGCAGCTCCCCTGCCGGACCCATTCCCACTTGGATTTCCTGAACAGAAAGATTCTAATGAGTCCCCACAACGTTTACTCAAGATAAAGATTTTTGTTTTGTACTGCCTCAAATGAGGACTTTAACAGCAATCACACAAATATAAACCAACACATGTTTTAGCAGAAGTGGCCATTTGTGAAAGATAAAATTTACAAAGAATTATTACCACTATGGTTTCACCGAGAAGGTGTTTGAAGTTGTCTCTGAAAGCACGCATGAAGTCAGCATAACACTGCACAGGTGTCCGGCCCTTGAGAACTGGGAGGGTATCACAGCCAAGTGATACATATTCATAATTCCTTCTTCCCCACTGATCAGTATAAGCAAGATCCGGATCTTTCTCCATCTCTTCCACAACCCACTTTGGTAAAGGAATACTACACAACGGAAATCAATTGTGCAGATATTATAATTACTTCTAATTAAAATACGCATCTAGAAAAATGCCTCAGGTCAAAACAGTCGGAGTAAATTGCAGTGAATTCCGGAGTAAGCAACCTCTTCCAAGTGTAATTTGTAGTCCCTTTAAGGTAAATCTAGATATGATTCTAAATAGTTATTTAAAATATATAAACAGTAAAAATCACGTTTACTTCGCATTTAACCACATTTTATTTCACTTTCTAACATCAACATCGAGTAATCAAGAAGAGAATAATGAAATAAAATCAGATAAAAACTTTTTACTGTAATAAAATGAAGAGAGATTTTTCTCTTGTCAACCGCCCAATAATGACCCTGAATCCTTCCAACCTTCAACATCAGAGTCTATGCTGAAAGTTGCTGGTCCCCGGCACTTTTTCAACCCCCTCTCCTCACCCTCTTTCTCCCTGGTCCCCCCTCTAGAAAAAGCGCCTAATCACACTAGATAAGCAAAAGCGAGCACCACTTTTCAACCATTTTTTTTCACACGATTTTTGACATTTGAGATTTTTTGTTGACGTGAATATTTGTGTGAAACTAGCATTTATTGAAATCATTTTTTTAAATAAAGCATTTATTCAAANNNGAAACCATCCCAAGTCGCAAGCTCACGTAACTAGAGGTCGTGGCTCTCAAGAAAATTAACTACTGTTATATCTGAGATAGCCATGGCGTCCATTTCAAAAAAAGGGGTTATGGCGTTCATTTAAAGAAAAATAAATAGAAGCTAATGAGCAACGATGAACGCAGAACCAAGTATTAATAAGAAAAACAAAATACCAAATATTACAAAATATAAATACGTACTTGCAAGAGTCACCGACGTTGCCGCCACACTGGTGAAACGACATAACAGCCTGCACCTTGAGACCGTGCTTCTTCGCCATCTCCAGCAGTTCCGTGTATCCGCCCCAGTTGTAGACCCCTGGAGCTTCCCTCTCCACCAATCCCCACCACACGTCCATCATAATTCCCTCCACCCCGGCGCTCTTCAACGCCTGCAGGCTCACATTCATCGCCTTCCTCCTATTCACTGTGTTCCCCATCGTTACACTGTCCAGAGGCATCATCACGTAAACTGGAACTCCTCCCCCATTCTTCCCCTCTCTCGGTGCTCCTCCTTCTCTGTACGTCCTCTGTCCCTCCCCATCCGTCGTCGCCGATGTGATCGCCCGAAACGCCGCCGATAGATCGGGCCGAGTCGCCGGTGGACTCAACGGTGGTGTTACGCTGCCGCTCGCCTCCGGACTCTCTATTTTGCAACGAATACTCGCCGCGGCCGGCCTCCACACGGCCGACGTGCTTACCGTGGACGAAGAATCCGTGGCCGTTGCGGTTAAATCGCTCGGAATCGGTATTCCGGCGAGTGAAGTGATCTGGTGAGCTATGTTTAACGCCATTATCCTGTTTGGAAAAGGAGAAACAAAAGCTTGTCTGGTTTATATTTGTTTGTTAAAGAAAAGAAGGGGATGTTATGAGCAGTTTCAAAAATAAAGAGGTAATGATTTTGAACGTGGTAGGGAGGAAATGCACAGGAGGTTCTCTTGCATATATAGAGCGCAGAGCAGATAAGATTAAAATAACCTCGCATTGACCATCAACTTATCGCCACGTGGCGTACTACTAGGTGCTCGTCAGGCGTGAGATCCAAGATTCAACGGCTACGATTCATGGTTTCGCATGACGACGGACGGTGCGATGCTGATCCGCGTGAATGTTCCAAGAAGCGCGCCTTCACGAGCGCAGTAAAGAAGGATTTTTTCCAATGCGTGCAAAAGATGGAGACACGTGGGATGTCACGTGTCCACTCCTGATCTTTCGGGTAAAGACATGCCCTTTTGCTTTCTACGGTTGGTTTGACGTCCACGAAAAAGAGTCAGGTGGTCGTGAGGTAGATCTGGTTGCCACGTGGCAGTCGGTGGGTGAAGTTTAAATGACGATAATTGGTTAATGCTGACGTGTCTATTGAATGGGATCTGGATTCTAGATGATTCGCGTTTGGGTTCTGGCTTTCAGTGGCCATGATTCACCGGCTGATGGGCACCATTCAATAGCAATCATCATTACACACAAACGTGAATGTTTTAATTTCTTCTATCATGTTTTGACATTTTAATTATTAGTTAATAATAATTTATATATTTTATTAATTAAATATTACATATTTAATACATAATAATAATAACATCATAATATTATAATAAAAATACATATAGTATAATTTTTTAACCAAACTACACGTAATATAATTTTTTTTAATAAAAACGTACAGAAAGTATGATTTGTAAATCAAATTTATAATTTCATAAAATATAATCGTAGTTCAGCCTATTTTAAAATAATAATAAATATAATCATAAAAGTTTTTTCCATTAAAAGTAATAGTTTATTGTTTAGCAAATATAATCTAATTAATATCAAATATAATTTTTTTCTTTTTAAAATAATAGTTTATTGATAATCATAAAAAGTTTATGTTGTCATACTTAGACAAAAATTGGTTTGAAAGATTTAATTTAAATTATTATCATTTATGCTACAATTCTAATAAATAAAATCAATCAATTAATTAATTTTTAGTAATATTTAAATAATTAGTAATATATATAAAATTTTATTTCTTTTTTCATCAAAATAATAATTCATTAGTAACAATAAAATTAAGTTGTGTAGTAAAAATTTAAAATATTTTACACAAACAAAAACCAGCAGCCACTACAAACCAAAGCTGACATCTCTTGCCACCTGCTTCAAAAACTCAAGGAAGGCATTTAGATTTCTGCATCATTAAGTGTTTGGACATGGTGAAAACAAAAATATTTACTATTTGTATATATATTAAAAACAGATGTTAATTTTAACTTTAAAAAGTACTTTTATTAATGTTTAATTACAAAATATTTTTACACCACAAAAATTGCAGTTATATTCATATGTCCTTTGCCAATTCCATAAATTTCTAATCAACTTTGACTAATCATAATAACCCTTATATGGCATTGCATAAATTTCATTGACATTTTTATTTACTTTAAATTTAGATGTATTCACCTAATAATAAAAACTTGAGTTTTTACCAAGTTAAAACAACAAAAGTCACTGTGTACTACTAAAAAATTATCTTATCAAATATAATTTTTACAGTTATGGATGCCACACGTGGCCATGTGGTGCTAACATGGTGATGACATGGCACGACGTGGCTAAGTACTTAAGGTGAGTTTAAGATAGTCATACATGAACTTCATGTTATTAACACGTTGTGCTTAGAATAAACAAATCAATATCTATAAATCTTTAAAAATAATATAAAGTTTCCACTATCAACAAACAATACTTTGTACGTGTTAAGCTTAATATTCTCTGTAATTATAAAAGTAAAACAACTTTTAGTAATAGCTTTTCAATACTAATCTTCCGATTACCCTTCTTCTTCACAACTAAACCCTTCTTATTTGAATTGGACAAGAAATGAGAGTCTCAATTTTTCTTGTTTCCTAGCAATGCAAGCCTCCAACATATCATAGATTTAAATTCGGCTTACTATTTTCTTTCTAAAAAACAAATGTCTTTACAAAACTCTTATATTTATAACAAAAATTAAAGAAAATGTATTTGTTTTTCTTTTACAAATTGTTTAGTGTATCTATAATAACACATAAAAATCAGAATGTTTTACTCAAATATAAAAAGAGGGTAAATAATTATCCTGTACGAAAAAAAATTTATTGTTAAATCACTGACTTGATAATATTAAAAATATAAAAAAAAATTTAGTTCATATTTATCATTATCTGCTTATTCAACTTCATAATTTTTCAATTCGCAAAAATATATGTTCATTTTATTTGTGCTAATAGAAATATATCTTTTTTATATGTATGGATTATCAAACCACGGTTAATGAATTTGTGTGGGTTAAAAAAGTTTTTAAAAAATAAAATTTGAAATTTAATATAGTATAATATATATATATATATATAGAAACAATATCTCAATATATCTAGATAGCTAGATATTGAAAGATACAATATCTCGAATATTTAGATATTGTACCATTTCCGTAAATTTAATATTTAACTTGCTTATTATCTAAAATGCAAATGATATGGAAAAGAAGAGGAATAATAATATTACACATCATTTAGTTAGTTAAATAGAATAAACGTGTAATGTAATTAAATAACTATCTAATGGAATGATGTGTATAACTAGTTGTGATAAAATTATAATTTTATTACATTGTTTGACTAGTAAATCAAAACAATTTATTATTATCATGTTAGTAAGTTTGTTTTGAAATATATGCATAATATCGAATATACTTATGTGTTAAATATTAACTCGATATGTTTGCAACATGTGTTGAATATATTCTTGTGCAATAAGCTTGTAAGAGCATTTTACAAATAACCTTAATGAAAGATAACAAGCTCACAAGCTCGGTTATTACTTAAGGATTTAAACTTAAAAACATTAGGTTCATTAAAAAATAACAATACTTGTAATACCTGGGCCGAGAATTTGGTCTGTGATTAATTTTAACATAAAAAAATGTATAAAAACTTATTTTTAAAATTAATAAATTTTAATTTAATGTAGAATTATGGAAAAAATAAGTTGATGATGAAATTAAAAATAATTTTAGGAAAAATGAGTAAAAATTTAGGTTCGGAATATATTTTTGAAAGAAAAATCGAAAACTAGAGATTAAAACGAAAATAAAAAAATTAAACCACGTAGGACCGTCCACTCAGCAGTCTCGACAAACCGGAGCAAGCCGTGTGGCAAGATACAATTGACCCGGTGCCACGCTGGAGCCCATGCTAGCGATCCACGTGCCCCACGATTGGACGACCAGGAAGCGTTCCCACGCGCGTAGACAGTCTGGATCCGTTACTCCTTAGGTGCGATCGGATAGTCGCAATTAAACGCGATGAACGGACCGAATTCGTTCTCTCTTTAAACACGATCGGACGGTTGTGACTAAATTGCGATGAATAATACAGATTTATTACATCTTTAAACGCGATGAGACAGTCGAGATTAAAGACAATGAACAGAACAGATTAACCGATATGGGTATAAATATTTCGCATCACACTGAACCCAAACCCAAATTGCCAGCCTCTCACCAGAAAAGAAGAACCAGTCACCGAAGAAAGGAGTCGACTGCCTCCCTCTACCGCGTCGGAGCCATCTCTGACTGCCAAAAAAGGTATAATTTATCCTATCCGTTCGAAATTTGATTCCGAGCACCCCCATGGCAAAATAAGAGCAAAAAGAACGACGGTTGAGCCGAAAACTACTAGCAAAGACCGGCGCCGCCGCCGCGGGCAAAACCCACAACCGTCTCCGATGAGCCCCTTATAGTTTCCCACTTCGTGTGATTTTTTTACCGTTGTGTTCATCATTTTATTTTCTATAGGTTAACCAAAGAAAAACGTCCTGCTGCGAATGTGAGCACCAGAAAAATTCTGCCGCCGGTAGGTCTCAGTTTTTTTTACTTTTTTTTTGGCCAATTGAGGCTCTCTAATATGTTTTCTCACATGGATGGGTATAAAACCGGCTGAAACCGGCCAAAACTGACTGAAAACTGCCAAGTTAAGGCAAACTACCACCGTGGGTAGCAGTGTCGTCGTCGGAACATGGCGATGCCGCCGTACCAGAATTCTAAAATTGATTGAAAAAGGTTTTTAACACTAATTTTGAATTTTTTGGAGCATTTTTAGGTACGTGAAGCGTGTTTTAATCTTTGTATGAAAATTTAGGAAAATCGGGGATCGCTAGTAGGTGTAATAGAACGTTTGGTGTTTCGGACACCGATTCGTGTAAGAATCTCTCACCTTATTCTCTATTATAGAATTGAAATCCCTCACCTTATTCTCTATTATAGAATTGAAGGTTAATAATCAGTAATATGCTATTTTGTGTAATTTGAAAAATTTTAAGAATAATTAAAGGTTACCAATAGAGCTGAAAACCGATTTAGTCATTTATTTGTTATCATATTTAACTGATTATTGAATTTACAGCTTTAAATACATGATGATATACTAGAATGGTCAAATGATTCAATTTTGCTTCCTTGATATATATATATATATATATTGTTTGTCTTACATGATTTACGATTGATTGTAAAATTAGAAATTAATATACAAACGAAAAATTGTTTGGTCATGTGAATTAATGAATGGTAATTTTACTAGATATCCTGAGAGATGGTGGATGGACTGGGTGCACAAGAAACAATGCCGTGAATGTTTTCTCATACCGAATAGGGTATCGAAAAATAGTATTGTTGGTGCTCATACCGGACAAGATATGAGGATGACCCGATTCACCCTCATACTGGATGAGATATTGGTGGTTAGTATTTTTGGGGCTCATACCGGAT